TCCGGCTTACTCCACCGATAAAAACTGATCGCCACGAAATAGCACAATAGTGTTGAAAGTGGCGTTAAACGCCAATCAATCAATAAATCATTTGTTTTATTAAGTTATCTTTTTTGTGATCAGTATATTATGATGTCATCAAGCTGAGCTGTACTCAAGAGCGAGTTAATTAAAACCGCACGTATAATAACATGGAGGAATATGGAGGAAAGTTGAGATTAATTCCGGTGGTATATCAACATGTTTACAGAAACAATGGTGTTAATTCTCAAAATGGAAAAAGATTTTATGCAAACGAACTTAGAACTGGTAACAATTTTACAAATCGAATTAGATATATTCCAAGGACACAAGTTGGCTATCAAGTAGGAAATAAGAATTATGTTCATAGGTATGTACGGGTAGTATATATCTTTCAAGATAGTGTGCAGTAACTTGTACCTGGAACACAAAAATATGTCATCCTGACATACATTTCGGCAATCTAATTAAAATATAGACTTCTGAATTCGTTATCCTCATCGAAATCAGAGGTCTATATTTTGATTAGATCGACATTTAGGTTTCTTTGACGTTGTTTGACTTTTACAGCTATTTCAGGTTTTTTTTTCATGTAACCATGACCCACATTACTGTGAATAAGGGTTTACGGTTAAATATCTGGCCCACAAACCTTGCTTACCCCAAAGGGTGACTGGGGAAAAGAAATATGGTCACTACAGGTCTTCTTCCGACCGGCAGTAAAACCCTTGGCAAAGTGGGGCGTCCATTTGGCTGTGCGAGATGTACAAGTACGCAGCCACGTCCGGTCAGAATGGGGACGTTAAATCCGATGCCTCGTGTAGAGAGAGTGCCACGCTCTCTGCACGTCAAGAACCCTTGTAACAACCCCATCGAGGGGTCCGTAGGTGGCCTGTTGCAAGGCTAAATTTCTGACCCTATCCAATATACCCTCATTATCCAGTGGCAATCTAAATTTCCCCGACCTTCATCCCGGACGGCATCTATTGCAAGACCTACCTATTGTATTTATTGTTAATTTCGTCTTGAACATGCATGAAATATTTGCCACAGGACGTTGATCAACCAACAATCAATCATACAAACCTTTCTACCGTAAATAACAGGAGTGGAACTTTGAAATTGTAATGCGTATCAAATTTTACAATGCAGAGCAAAATCCAGTTATGTTTTTAATTTTCTTAAACAAATAATACATTTGAATTTTATTTATCTAGGACGTGCTATGCCTTAAAACTATTCCAGAAGCACAGGTTTGTCTACACTCAGAGTAAATTATGAGGTGTAAACACAGCCATTTCAGACAAAAGGTCCACATGAACCTTAACTCTTATTTACAGCACAGGAGTAACATTAATCTTCATTTATTCTTGGAGATTAACGCATTTTATTGTCAAGCCTGCAACTTCTGTCGCAGAAAGCGAGACATAGGGATAGTGATCCGGCGGTGGCTGCGGCCACGGCAGCATTAACAAACTTCTTAAAAGCTTATTTCAGAAGGTAGCAGACCTGGATCCTTCATACTTTGTGTATAGATGCCTTATGTTATGAAGTTTCCGTCTGTCGTATGTCCATTGTCCTTGACCTCATTTTCAGGGTTAAGTGACTACTTGAAAAAAGTTAAGATTTTTAGTTATCTTAATTTCTCTCTTATTATGAGTAATAGGATAACTATATTTGGTATATGCGTACCCTGCAAGGTCTTCGTGCCTGTCAGACAGTTTTCACTTGACCTCGACCTCATTTCATGGATCAGTGAACAAGGTACCTCCTTTAATTTTACGGTTCATTGCTCAATGTTAAGTTTTTGTGTTTTGGTCTGTTTTTCTTAAACTATGAGCAATAGGTCAACTATATTTGGTGTATGGAATGATTGTAAGGTGTCTATGTCTGTCTGGTAGTTATCATCTGACCTTGACCTCATTTTCATGGTTCATTGGTCAATGTTAAGTTTTTCTTAGATACTATATGCAATAGGTCAACTATATTTAAAGCATGCAATGATTCTAAGGTGTACATGTCTGTCTGGCAAGGTTCATCTGACCTTGACCTCATTTCGATTCATTGATCAATGTTAAGTTTTCCTGGTTAAGTTTGTTTCTTAGATACTATGTGCTATAGGTCAACTAAATTTAAAGCATATAATGATTGTAGGGTGTACATGTCTGTCTTGCAGGGTTCAACTGACCTTGACCACATTTTCATGGTTCTTTGCTCAATATAAAGTTTTCATGGTTTGGTCTGTTTCTTGTATACTATAAGTAATAGGTCAACTATATTTGGTGTATGGAATGATTTTAAGGTGTTCACGTATTTCTGGCTTGGTTTATCTGACCTTGAACTTATTTTCTTTGATCATGCTAAGTTTATGTGATACTTGTAGTGAAACTTTATATTTAGGACTATCAACATAAAATCAATGGTCAGTAAAGCAGGCGAGATATTTCAGCGTGTGCACTCTTGTTTCCTTAAGACAAAATATACGTAATTGGCCGATATGTCGGATTTTGATAAATAAAATTTTGAATGCATTTAGAGCTCGCTGTTGAACTTTATCGGAATATCAAAAAAGGCACATGTTGCATTTTTACTTCCAGAGATAAAGTCAAAATGATGAAAAAATAGTGGAATATAGGTCTATTTACATATAGAATGTTCGCAAATAACGGCAAATCATATGAATATTTTTGTCGAGCCTGTGACATTTTGTTACGGAAGCTAAATCGATAGTGATCTTTCATTCCGGTGTCGGCGGTGTTCACATTTTGTTCTGTCAATCTGTAAAGAACTTGGACAGAAGCTTTTTGTGATCAAAAGACAGTAGTACCCAGATAAATAGTTTGTTTTCGTTTTCCCGTATCTTACTGATGAATGGACTGTATTTGTTTTTATTTTTGCAGTTAACATTAATTTAAGACACATATGTACATTCTTGGTTTTTTTCCATTTTTATACATACATGCATAACTGACTTTGTCAAAGCTAAATAAATTTTATGAAACTTTGACAGAAGCTTTTTTTACGATTTAAAGATAATGTCTGTACTGAGTAAATTGAAAATGTTTTAATCAGTGATTCACGGTACTTTCAACTTAAAGATCACTGGAGTTATTTTGAAATGCTAAGTGTATCCAGGATTTTGGAAAGGGGGGTGAAGTATGTAAATATTGCCGAGCGGCGCTAGGCGAATTTTTTTTGGGACCTTTTTTTGGCTAAAAAACATAAAATAAGTGTAAAATGCACTTTTTTAACGGTTCCTGACGTAAGGCATGTATATTTTATAGTTAAAGTGTAAGGGTTGGACATTTTTGGTGCCGTATTCTCTTAATTATCTATTATAAAATGATTGGATGGATCACAAGCTATGTACTAATATATTTGATGTGGGATTTGTCAGTAAAAAATTGACATGGAAAATTCTCGTTTGTTGTATGTTTAGTTAGCATAACGTCACGGATTTCTTGTTGTAAACAAGATATACGCCGGGCTATTCAATAAAATTTACAATACGACCGACACGAGTGAAGAAAGACAAACAAGCAATTTTTATCCAAATGTTTGGTTGAAATGTTTCACCCAACAAGGGAAGTGAGGGGTTTCAAATCAACCAAAGGCTACGAATGAGTCTGAAATGACAACGAATATTTGAATGACGGTCGACAAATGGAAACATAAAGGCCACACCCAGCAGGCAGGTTGCAGTCGGGCCTTGAAAAAGTATTCATTTTATCAGTTCGACGAAACAGACATTCCGGTCAGATATGGGATTTACATGCAAACCCCCGGCCCCAAAAAAATTACGCCCGTTTTTTTATTCGTCATGTTCATTTAATGCTAAATAATTCTGTTGGAAATTTTTGTTTCTAATAGCAAAAAAAGGGGACAAGATTATTGTTTTCAATCCAGATAGGCCAGAATTTTTGTTTAAGGCAAAAATCAGGGTCCGAATTTTTTCTCTCAAACATCCCAGACTGCCGGCCCCCTCAAATCAAATGGTCCGTACCTTAGACTTTAAATCTATCTAGAGCTTATTGACTGGGGATCATTATTCAGCTATGTTATTAATAGGCTGTTGCGTGTTGGGTTAAACATGTTTTCGTAGGTAAATAATATTGCTGTGGAACTTTTTTTTCATGAAAGTGTAATAGAGTATTACTTTCTGTTCGGTGGAATTGTGAAATAGAAGTCAATAAATACGTTCTTGCTCAATCCTTTGTCGCTTTGAAGGTGTCATGCTAGTCATCCTCAGCCTAAGCAATGTGTTACTGTAATTTGAATTTCAAAATGACTGAGTGACGTTTTTTCGATGCACTGGTCAACTCCGCCGTAGCGAATCACATGATTTTGACATAATCGATAATATATTACAGTAAATACGAGCGAAACATATCTTTATAAGTAAAGAATTGCCGCATAAAAATTAAATACGCGGAAAATGGCAAAGTTCACGAAGTCTAGTCTGATTAATCATTTTACAAAAAAAAAAGTGTAAGCAAATGGGGGGGGGGGGCGTACGCCCTCTACGCCCCCCTCTGGATCCGCCACTGGTATCAATTTTGATATTAAGATGCAGTTCAACGAGTTCTATAAAATGCATACAAAACTTCTTTAAAATCCCGGCGAAATATTGCCCATTTACGTATACTTTGCCCAAGGATTTGTATAGGTATAGTAAGTATACAAATCCTTGATTTGCCTTAATTTGATATACACATGCCAACAAAACCATATGACCTTTGAAAAAGCAATTTGTAACTATAGGAATTCGGTTCTGGCGATTAAAAAATCAAAAAAGTATTGTTGGGCATTGTGTACCCATCAGTGCATCACAAACTCTTAAAAATAGATAAAAATACCCGCCGAAATTAAGAAAAAGTCCCTTTCTTCTAAAGTGCGAACGTCCGAGAAAGCACCCATTGATTTTGCAAGGTTAAGTTAAACCGACTGTATTTATTGTTACTTCCGGTGGACTTCAATTTTTGCGCATGGCTATATTGTTATTTCCTGCTTATCAACCGTAAACATAAGTTTGTTGTTTATATTTTAATCTTTATGCTAGATCATAAAACCTAAATAGAAGTAAGTGAAAACCGCTCTTTTATATATTTATTATCATAACATGTAGATTTTTTTTTTAAATTCTTGGCAAAAGCTATGACAAGGCGTATCACTGATGCTTCCACAGCTGTCGGCAAAACCTTGTTCACTCGCTCGACCATTTACATGTTTCTTTTACCTACCTGGATTCTACTTAGATTACTGCGGCGATCTTTAAGTTGAAAACTTCTTTTGACGCCTCGTAATTAAACTTTATACTTAATTAATATTATTAAACTATGAGCTGTGCGCTTAGTAAGATAGTAGATAACGGCTTAATCATGTTAATTTTTCGGTTTTAAAAGCTCTTCAGAGCTTATGTTTGTAATTGTATTGCTTATACCGACACTAAATAAAGCTTTATGTCTTTTGTCTTATGTCTAACATATTGTTTTACACCAGATGATAAGAGCAAGAGCTGTGCTGCATCACCCTTGAAGTCACACTTAATTTATGCACCACCTTTGATATAGGGTCATTCTGGTAACATTGGAAGAGTGTCTACATTGTAAAATACATGTATGTACATGAAGCCTATAAATCCCTTTTGGGATTTGTGTCCAGAAAGCTTTTCTGATGTGACCACTTACATATCAGAAAAGTGCTCCAGACATAAAATCCCAAAAGGGATTACATGCAGCCATGAATAGACTGAACATGTTGAATGTCAGACCAGTCACTCAACTGTCAACTCACCCTGTAGTAAATTTATTCAAAGTCATATGTACACATACTTTGATAAAAACTTCTATGGGGCCTACATGTACATGTATGTCATGAAGCCATGCATAGAGAGAAGGCCAGACAACTCACCCAATCGAATTCAGCATCAGGACAAATGCGTACCAGGACAAATTGGCATCTGTGAAAGACACTTCAGCACAGGGAAAGACATTCCCTATCAAGTCGACACCTTATACATGTTATAAAAAGTTGCTTATTTATTGGTAGGAGAACCAACTGATTATGGACTTACTGTAACCAAGCAAATATCTTTTGCTGCACGGTTTTGATGTTTAAGTATTAAATCTTCTATGAAATACAGAATACAGTAGTTTAATAACTTATCCTTTCGTTTTTTTATATTTGGTACCTTTCAATCTCAGTTTTTAAAGGAGCAGTGCTATGCTACAAAAGTTAAATTACAGTATCAACCAGTTCAAAAACTATCTGAATATCAAAAAAACTGACGACTGGATCTTTTTCAAAAGTATTACCTTAATTTTGAGCTATGCAATTAAAGTTTGTTTATAGTTAGTAACCAGTTCAAAAGCTATCTGAATACCGAAAAGATGTAAAATAAAAGTGAACAACCACCAAAATTTTGTCGGTCATCAGGACTGCCACTACATATGCAATTGTTGGTCCTAGCCGATTTTTGGCAGTCAGGACTGACAGAACCGACGGTTTTCGAGAACACTGTGTTTATCTATTGACGATCAAGGATTTAAATTTTAAACCTTTAATATGCTTCTGGCAGTACATGTTACTTTATTGAAAATCAAGGATTATAAGGACTGTTGATATTCTAATGATCAATAACGGCATCAAATCAGCAATGTCGATAGCCTGGCATATTTATGACATGTGTGAATAGAACTTCATACTGTATTGTGTTTTCTTAACAATTTTAGAAAATTGACAATTAAGTTAAAATTATATAGTGTTATTGTCAAATTATACCCGGTATTTATTTGCAGATTTGGCTATGTATAGATTTGTAGGAAATATACGGAAAATATAATAGCATAAAATTCCCAACAATTAACATTAAGATATTGTCATACAGGTACGCAATTTTGGCGTTTCAATTTTTAGTGATTGCTTTATTTTCGTGTCTTTAATTAATTTTAGCACTCTCATTGGAGGCGCCAAATAAATCAAAATAAAACTACAACCAAAATATAAACCCAATTTACGGTATATATATATGTTTTAATTAACATTTTACTTTACACCAAATTCATTTTTAAATAATCTATACAACTCAAAATGAGTCAGCATAAATCCTTCTAAAATAAGGGGGAACAGTATTAGGACTAAAAGAGAAAAGTGTCCTAAAGTAATGGCAAAAAAGAAGAATTAAGATAGCTCAAGTGTCTTCCGCCATTTGGGATTGTAAATTACCAAAAAACAACTAGATCTTTAATGAAATGTGCAAATTTTGAGAGAAGAATGTATTTCATGTTAGACTTTTCATCAGAATAAAGAAAATGATGTGTTTTATCATATTTTCGTGACTGTTTTCAATTCATTTTTTTCATCTTTGCCATACAAGGGGAGATAACTCAGAAAATGTAACTTATATACTGGAATGTGTTATGAATTTACCTGTTTTGTTTTGTAGCAAGAAAACAAGTCCCATGACCCTTAATTTTTTTCCCCCCAAAAGCCCATTATAAGAGCTATCTTCTTGAGATCTCAGATTTTGTCTTAGAATTTGATCGGTTAGTTTTCTTTTTATCACACAAATTGTGTTTTCTGTGAACAATCTATACAAAATCTGACAATTTTGCACAACCTGTACAGCTGTAGCCCTGTGACTCATTCTTTTTATTATATACATGTATTTGAAAAAGTCATGATATAAACTACATTTTGGCAAATTATTAAAAAATTCAATCAATTTTGATTTAGACCCCCCTCTACCTTAACACATATTTAAATGATAAATAATAATTATGCTGAAAAAAATTAAAACCTAGTGTTATAATATATTGTAATTTTTTATAAGATTTGTGATAATTAATCATCCTTATCATTTAATTCAATAACTAATGTCTGCACATTTTTAAAATTACATTGGCAATGTACTTCATTTGTACTTGTAATGTAATTAGTTACATTTCAAAATTAATGTAATGGTAATTTAATTGAAGAAATTAGTATGTAATTGAATATAAAAAAACTTGGATATAGAATTATGTAAAAAAATATTTCAATACTGAAAGAAAAAATGTATATATCAATCATGATATTATTTAATGTTTCTATTTGGTGAGGCAATCGTGTACAGCTGGTAACAAGCATTTCAGAAAATTCTTTCAAATTTTTAAGTTACTTTTACCGTTCTTGAGTTATTTCCCTTTATAATGTTATCTGCAAGAAGGGGCATCATCTGTTTCCCATGGACACATTCTAAATTTATTTATACTGAAAATGCATACATGTATCAGCTGTTACAAAGTATTTTATGAAGGATAAAATACTTTTATACTTTAGAAACATTCATTTTCAGTTTCATAAACAAAGCAATTTAAAAATTTACGATAAAAGTAAGAGTTAATATGTTTAAAATTGATATGGATTACAACTTTTGTTGGTTTATTGTAGGGCACAATATACCACCAGAATTAAGATGGATCGACAGTTCTCCAGGATGACCACGGCTAGTGCCACTGGAACTCGTACCTCAAGTACAACTGGAGAGGGAAAATTCAATAAAGCTTCAAGGTACAGTGTAATTGATTGTAAATACACAGAGGTAGTGTACATTGTAAATCCATTTATCTTACCTCCTATACATTTCTAGGAATATGATTGGTTAAATTTTTAGCAACCAGGTGAAGACCGTGTATATTTCATATGGGGTTAGTAGGCGTGGTTTATTTCAATACACAGTTAGTAGTGGTGTTACATCCCTTTTTAAAAACAACACGGTGTTTAGGAAAAATCTGAAAGGTTTCAACAGACAAGGAAATTGATGATGAACGATTGAAGTACATCCATAAAACATATTTAAAGTTGTTATTGTTGGCATTTGTTATTGTATAGACCAATGCAAGTAGGTTCTTAATATTGAAGATTTGATCACTTTAATAGGCCACTAGTACTTTAGGATAGTCGTTAAGATAAATTCGTTACACAGTGTGCTAGTGACCTAATACGATATATATGGGGTCAGTAAATTCCATATGGGGATTCGAGTTTCGCTCTCACCCGATATGGAATTTACTGATCCCCATATATATAGTATTAGGTCACTAGCACACTATGTAACTAATAGTCTCTGATCTTTTGTACAAATAAATATAACATCTGTATTAAAACCTGTTAAATAATCAACTTTGTTCCCCTAAGTCTTTAAGATTTTTTTTTTAATCTGACAAATCTCATACCCCTATCAAAAATTAGAGACAATACATTACAGAGAAGAGATCGAACAATTATTAGTCAAAAAGTAAGTGTTTTGTTTTCAAGTTGTAAGGTTTGATAAGGTGGATGAAAAAGTGTGACCAGTCATAATTTTCAAGGGGACTAGTAGGGAAGGTGAATGAAATGATGTTTAGTATGGTAAATGATCTTAAGTGACCTTTTTGTGTTGATATGAAATATCATTGATATGGTTATTATTATAAATTAACTGTTTACAAAACTTTGAATTGTTCGAAATGCTTAAGGATTATCTTCCCAAGGAATAGATTGTAAACCTAAGCTGTATTTGGCAAAATCTTTTGAAATTTTTGGTGTTCAATACTCTTCAACTTTGTACTTGATTTGACCTTTTAACTATATTGATGAGTGTTGCTGATGAGTTTTTTTATAGAAGAATAGCCTGTATGACCTACAAAATTATAAGCCTGGTAACTATGATGATTTTTTTTTTAAGTAAAGAATATGACCCTAAACTTACACTCTTTGATTGAGTGAGCATATGAAATATATTTTTTTTCTTTTGAATATCTGAAATATGATCCATGTTTTAAAGGTGCATAGCAGAATTATTTATTTAATCAGATTTACATTAGATAAGGCTTTAGAAAAATGTAGCTCTGGAAAGAAAATCTTGAATCATTTTTATAGTTTATTATTAAAGGGAACAATGAAACTAATTTCTCCTGTTAAGAATTGTCAATAGAATATATTTATGTCTGACTATAACATAGTACATTTTCACTTTTACATCCTGTTTCGAAAGGAATAATGACAAGACTCACAAGAGCGCATGTACACATATTTGAAATTTCTCTCAATTTTTATGAATATCATTGAAACATATATATACATGTATAAAAAGAGTATGTCTCCATAGGACACCATGCCCAACTTGCAGTATTATTTTCTATGTTCTGTGAACAACAAACTCTAGGTTAAAACCTAATTTGACTTTAAAAAAAAAGTTGCAGTGGTGAAAACAAGATATTAAACTGTTTATTACAATGTACTTCAAGCTTAAACATGCATAAGATACAAATTAGACAAAAACTTAAAATAAGACTTTTTTGTTTCAAACATTTATAAAAGCAGAATATTGAAATGATTCAACCTTGTTTGAATTCTTATTCATGCAACCTTTGATTTGACATTCAGCAGAGGTCTTCTCAGGATATACATTTTTGTATGTTATAAATCAAATATGAGAATTAAAGTCAGAATTTGACAGCTAATCATTCTAATGCCCCTTTAATAATTCAGCTTAGTTTGGTTAAAAACTATGTTGAAAGTGAAGACACTTAAAACTGTTGAGAAATTAACATTACAAAATATTGAATAAATATTTACAGAGAATATCTGCTCTTATAATTTAATACTCTTTATTGCAGTAACCAGATATCCTTAGATATGTCCTAAAATGTGTCCTAAAAACAACACATCAGCATTTGTAACCCCTACATGAGAATGGTTACAATAGGTAACAAATGAGAACCAAGCAAATGCTGAGTTACAATGGTTGCATTGGTTGAAAATGTTAAATTTACTTTTATCATTTATTATAAAAACTTTTAAAGCAAATGCTACATGGGTTACAATGGTAACATGGTTACAATGGTAACATGGGTTACAATGGTAACATGGGTTACAATGAATACAATGGTAACATGGGTTACAATGGTTGCACTGGTAACATGGGTTATAATGGTAACATGGGTTACAATATTAATGGTTACATGGGTTACACTGGTAACGTGGGTTACACTGGTTACATGGGTTACAATAGTAACATGGGTTACAATGGTAACATGGGTTTCAATGGTAACATGGGTTACAATATAATATGGGTTACAATGGTTATATGGGTTACAATGGTAACATGGGTTACAATGGTTACATGGGTTACAATGGTAACATTGGTTATACTGGTTACATGGGTAACAATGGTCACATGGGTTACAATGGTAACATGGGTTACAATGATAACATGGGTTACAAAGGTAACACGGGTTACACTGGTTACAATGGTAACAATGGTTACATGGGTTACAATGGTTACATTGGTTACACCGGTAACATTGGTTACAATGGTAACATGGGTTACAATGGTTATATGGGTTACAAAGGTAACATGGGTTACAATGATTACAAGGGTTACATGGGTTAACATGGTAACACTGGTTACACTGGTTACAATGGTAACAATGGTTACATGGGTTACAATGGTTACATTGGTTACACTGGTAACAAGGTTACAATGGTAACATAGGTTACAATGGTTACATGGGTTACAATGGTAACATTGGTTACATGGGTTACAATGGTTACATGGGTTAAAATGGTAACATGGGTTACAATGATTACAATGGTAACATGGGTAACAATGGTAACATGGGTTATAATGGTAACATGGGTTACAATACATTTTTGTAGTTACATGGGTTACAATGGTTACATGAGTTACAATGGTTACATGTGTTACGATGGTTACATGGGTTACAAGGGTTATATGGATTACAATGGTTACATTCACTTTAAATATTTTATCAGAAGTACTTTTTTTATAAACAGGTTTCATTCTCAAAAACCATTCACCTGGTGTTAATAAAGTGTAACCATTGTAACCGTGTAACTGGTCTTGAGAATGACAAAAGGTGCAAAAGTGAATGTAACCATTGTAACCAATGTAACCTATGTAACCATTGTAGCTCAGAAATTTCCAGAATCTAATTTAAAGTATAAACCAGTGTTACTACATGTATACAAGTGTAACCATTGTTACTGTGTAACTGAAGATTGAAGCCTGTTTTAACTTTATGAATAATAATACTTCAAAAAAATATTGAAAGTGAATGTAACCATTGTAACTCAGAAATTTCTAGATTTTAATTAAAAGTGAGAAAAAAAAAAGTTTGTAAAAAGAGAATGTAACCAAACGCTGTACCTTACATATATAAAAAACTTAAAATGGTGAATGTTACTGTTGTCACCAGTGTAACCATTCTCCTGTAGCAGTTACAAATTCTGACATGTTGATTTTAGGACACATTTCTAGACATATATGGATATCCTTCCCATAACTTGTTTGAAATAATAATTTTAAAAGGCTAATTCTTAAAATAAAAGCATGGAAGGGGAAAATTCAGACTTTGTAGGAAAACTAGCTGCATCAATTGTATAAATTTTGTATCAGGAGAGACATCTGAATGAATTATTAAAAATGAATCGCACTAATAAAGGGCTTTTCTCTTGCTTCCCAAAGATGTTCCCACTGACTAAGTTATGTCTTTAGAAATGTTGGACAGTCCATTTAAACTTCCATGCCAGAAAAGTTTTTTAAATTACAAAAATGGTTTTAATCAGCTTGATGTCTAAATATTTTTTAAAACAATGAACAAATGTTTTTTTTTTTTCTGATATCTACAATGTATATTAGTTAATTACTTCTTTATAATGCTTTATCTTAATCTGTATTAAAGTACAAATGTACCTATTTTTAGGATGATCTAGTTTCAGCTGTGTTTTGTGCTACATTTTGTGTACATATAATGATTAAAAAAACATTAGAACAAATTAAAACAGTAAGGTATATTAATTATAAAAAAAATGTAAAAAGATTCTAGTCATGAAAACATCTGTTGAAAGTGTTCATCAAAGCCCAAAACAGTTAAACGATGCAAGCAGTATTATTTAACTTTACATTAGGCCATTATAAAAAAAGAATTTTTGTGCTCTAAAGGTAATCACGATTGGGGGATTAGAATCTAGGAATTTATTTATACGCTAAAAATTCAACTTCCAAATTTCCAGTTTCCTTTCTGCCAAATAAAGAGAGACAGTTCCAAATTTTGTTTTGTGATTTTAATGAAGAGATTAAAGGCTATTATATTATTGTATTTTACTTCATATGTAAATAAAATAGTACTTTTGGTGCAAATAAGAGTTATTTATGAAATTGGTTTTATTTGTAATAACAAATGTACTAAATTTCAACAAAGTGAAGAAAAACCTTCAGGTACCAAATTAACAATGTGTTATAAGGTAAGTCAAGTAAGCAATTGACAAGATTGAGGCAGACTCTGAATATGATCATAAGTTTTCACATGAAGTACCAACTATAAAGGAATCAATACAGTTACTAGCTGTGAAAGTTCTGTTTAAATAAAGAAAATTCAAGGTTTCTATGTGGGAGCAGGTCAAGTGGAAATTGTTTACTTTTCTTCATAGAACTTTAATTGTACAGTATAACATGATGTAATATTGATAATAGAATTTAAACCCATTGGAATTTTATCTGATTTAAAAGTAAATTGTATAATTACTTATAATTTTGCATATACATGTATATATATCTATACCTAAACCTTTACCTGGAATGATTTACAACACTCCAAAATAGAGTGTGGAACAAAAAATGTTCATTTTTACATGTATATGATAATTATTTCAAATTCTTTATAACTGTGTTTTGCATCTTCAAGGCAACATAAAATTAATAACAAACTGTTCTGTAATATAAAGTAAGGAGATGTGGTACCGTATGATTGCCAATGAGACAACTATCCAACAGAGCCCAAAATAACATTGACTTAAGCAGTTACAGGTCACTAAACAAAAAGCAGAACTCATACTGTATAATCAGCTATAAAAGGCCCCCCAAGACAACAAATGTGAAAGAATTCAAAAGAACAAACCAACAGTCTGATTAATGTCAAATCAATAAATGAAAAACAGATACATGTATAACAGACATCAATCAAGGACAACCACTGAATTACATTCTCCTGACTTGGGACAGGCATTTAATGAACGTGGCTGGTTTAAACTTGTTTGTGAGCACTTAATTCTCCCTTTAACCTATGACAATGGTGAAACAGTACAACATCAGAACAAATTGTAAAAATCAGTCGGAAATGGTTTAACACGTCAGACTGGTACAAAGCACATAAAAACTAACATAAAGACAAAAGACATAAATTGTCTGAGAATAAGCTTATATCAGAATATCTCCTTGTAGTGTAGGAGAAAAGTAATTTATTCTGTTGTTGTTTTTGTTGTTATAATCAGTGTTCTCCCCAGGGCCCTTTAGCATCATGGCGATGTGATGCTTTATTGCTTTTAAAAATGTGATGCTAAAATATTTTGAAAAAAGAAAAAAATATGTCTAATTCCCCTTTTACCAAGATGTTATATGAAATTTGTGGGGGAGAACACTGTATAATTATAATTAAAGGGGATGTTGGTAATACACAAACAACACGTAGAAAAGAATAAATCATTCACAGCGGCCATTATGTAGCATATATAATGCTTGTACCTTATTTTTCACTTTCACTGTCCATTTAATTAAATTTTGATAATAGCTGAAACAAATGAGAGGATGAAGATGAAGGTTTTGAATTAAGATAGGATATAAGGAATATATAGGTTTCATAACATTAAATTGAAAGCATATTTTTGCAAAGTTTGCTTACCTTATTTACAAAAAATGATTTAGTGTTATGAAAAAAAAATGGATTTTAGAAGTGATCCTCAATTTTCTTTATAATGCTTACAGGAAATTGAAGAAAAGTCTAACAGGATTTTTCGGCTTGGACTTAGATGATGAGCATGAAGATAAAAAACAAAGATGGAACAACAGACGAATGAGATTGCATAAAGGAAAAGTTAAAGATGATTATCTTCTGAAAGCAGAATCTGACGATTTATTTTTGGAGAATTCGCACCAATTCAAATATATCCATGATCCACTCCGTAAAATACATCGTCAAAGTGAAATATCATCCAGACGTACCACACCTTTATCCAGTTCAAGTACTTATGCCAGGAGTAGACCTGGCGGCCCTAAAAGGTTACGTAAAGATTCTGTCATGCAGATGACATGGAAAGGTCTTCGTACAATTGCTGTAAGTTTCTGTTTCGAATTTTCCTTGGAGTTCGGTATTTTTGCTATTTTACTTTTTTTCAGTTTATACAATTTTAAGATGTCCGTAGCTTAGATTAAACATGAATAAGATACATTTGGAGTGAATAAGTATTCAGACCTAATCACGGAAATTGAATTACGTTTCCACCTGTATATATAAGGAAAGAATAATAAATAGAGAATATTATATAGCCTTTTCAATATCGCACCCCTATTTATCTGGAACACTAATTAAATCTCAAGAGCTCTGCTCTATGGATTATATTGGTTGAGGGTTGAAACAGTGTGTGATATTGTCTGAAAAAGCCATATCCATACCTGCAAACTTTTCAAAATCTCCATGGAGGATTTTAAGCGCAAGAGGACCTTATGTTCCTTTTATATTGTCATAAGTGTTTTTTAATCTACTATATTGTTTGAATGAGTATGTATGTGCTCAAATACCCTTTTAACTCATTTGAATGCCTGTTCAGTTTATATTATAAAGAATTTCAAAATTCAGGTCAACACCTCTCATGGGGGAAATCCCCATAAATGGTGATGGTTGGCAGGTCTGCTTATCATTTACTTTTGATTATAAACATAAAATAGATGTTTTCATGTGAGAAGACATTATACAGATTAGGGGTTTGACAAACATTTGCAACAGTGACTGTTATTGATGTCATGACTTCATTCAGATTAGGGGTTTTATAAATCCTTTGCAACCTTTACTGATATCAATATCATTATGGATGGGTTTTACAGCACAATTGCCATTGATTGCATTACACATACAATTTACTTGTATTTACTACTATTAAAGTATGCTATAACATTGAATACAGGCAACAATTTTTTACTACTAATTTGTTCATTTCTCTTACAGGCCTCAAGAAAGAAACTTAGAGGAAAATCCTACAAACATAGTGCAAGTTTTGATCCAGCTAGAATGGGTGAGGAATTTGGGGATGATCTATCAGCTAGTTATGGATACCAGGTAAAAAAATATTTGATAGTTCCATATTGTGGATTCATTTATTTTCGTGGATTGAGGAAAATTGTATTTCAGTGTATATTTGTCAAAGACTACAAACCAGTCTATAGAAAATTGATACATCGTTGAACATTTAAATTTGTGGTTAAACTTCAACCTTGAAATCCAGGAAAATTGGTATCCAACAAATAATAATGAATCCACAGTATACACTAGTATTACTGATTATAAGACAGATACCAAATGGACATTCAATAAATAAGTCAAACACAAATGGTTAACACCATGGCAACAAAATGAAAATCGATCTAAAGAAACACAACAGTCAACAAAACACTAGAAAACTAAAGACAGAGCAACATGAACAGGACTAAAAACCGGGGCAACCTCAGTTGCTCCTGAAGGGTTAGCAGATGCTGCTCCACAATTGGTTAAAACAAAGCTAAAAAAATAATTTTAAAATTATTTATACCTTTTGGTAAAATAAAAGTCTTAAATATCAGTATTCGTACCTTGTGATAAAAAAAATCATTTTCAAATATCAGTATTTATACCTTGTTTGAAAATTCTCAGACCATAAGTTTGTTAAAAAAGATTTGATTACATTTCCATTTTCTGGCAACTATAATGAATAAGTGAATGTTCAAATAACAGAGATTAAAGAAATTCCATTTACCTATACAAATTCTTAAGCAACAATGAATTTATAAATTTCAGCCACAACATGAAGATGCTATAAGTCTTGTAGATGATGTATTTTATGATGAACCTATTGTTCCACCATCACACAAGATGTCCAGAATGGGGGAATATGAGAACTTGTAAGATATCACTTATACATTTAGGTTACTGCTGTCTTATTATGCCCATGTAAATCAATGGCCAATGTTTGGAATTATTTTTGTTATGGCTGTAGATATTGAACTGATATTTTTGTTTATAAGCGCATAATGTTGGATTATAGACTGAACTGGATTATCTACTTTTCACAGAATAATGGCCCTTGGAATTTGGCATCAGGTTAGGGTATTCATGTCATTACAATTACACCATTGGATAAAGTATCAAGATTCAGAGCAATTGTAATTGATAGGTCACTTAATGATTCAAATTTGAATCTAAAATCTTTTTATTCTGCTAAAGTTAAAATGACAACTGCAATTTTTAGCCAGGCACATAAAAGCAATAGATTTTAAGTTTTTGCATGGATCTAATAGTCCTATTCATACTTGACAGTAAAATTAGATTCTGAAATCTGAATGTCATTAAGTATCAATTGCAATTCAGCTGTAAAAATAGGATGCCAACAAATTTACCACAAGAATTACTTTAAATATAAACATAAAAAATATAAGTCATTTTGAAAACTAAAAAATAATGGAAACAATACTATAGATTTGGTACATACTCTACTGAATTGTTGAATCAGGGTCAATTTTAAGTGATGTTTTGTCTTTAATGTGATTTGTTTTGTGATATAAGCTCTGATGAAGATGGTCATGATAATGATGGCTGGCATAGTTGATTTGATTTTTACATCACTAATTAGCATTAAGAATTAAAATTTACATAGACCAAAAAGTTTCTTCCATGTTTTTAAAAAAGATGTCATTAACCATAATATTATTGTGTTAAGAATGTTTTATTGTAAATTTATTTGTTTTTGTGGATTGAGGAATCATTTTATTTTTTTTCGTGGATACCAGATTTTGTGGTTTTGGCATAATCTGCATACAATATCTAGGAAATTTGTAATTCGTTGAAACTCTTTAATTTGTGGTTCATCTAAAGGCACGAAATCCACGAAAACTAGTACTCATGAATAATAATGAATCCACAGTACTTATAAATATCCCTTTCTAAAATTAGTAGTTTATCTTACAGACCAGCAGGTGGATGGAGGAGGCAACCACCTCAGGGTCTACCATCCACTCCGTACGATGAACTAGACATGCCTGAGTTTTGCATGAGAAGAATTGGCAAACAAATCATGAATAATGAAGTTGGTCCAGAAACAAGACAGGTTGGAATGGGATTTGTGGGTAGACTATTTAACAGAAGTTTTAGAAGTGACAGAATGAATTCCAGTGTTAAAAGTCAGATAGCTAATGTTGATGATCATAGGTGAACAATTGATGAGTTTCTGGTTGAGTCAGTTTAAGTGATATCTTGGCTAACTGCTTAGACCATGTATAAAATCTTAATTATCTCCCCTGTTATTTTTATAGCTCACCTTGCCAAAAGAGCATCAGTCGTCTGTCATCCATTATCTTGTACAAAGATCATCTCCTCTGAAACTATTGGGCCAAATTTAACCAAACTTGGCCTGAATCATCAATGGGGTATCTAGTTTAAAAAGTTTGTGACCCCTGCCAACCAAGATGGCCAATATGGCTAAAAATAGAACATACGTGTAAAGCGCAAGTTTAGTCTACTATTTTGAAAACTGCTATAAATAGAGAAAATTTAAAAGAGGCAGAAATGGTTAGAATGTTGAGCTCTACCTAGTGTCCATTTAAGCCAAACCTGTCAGACAACTTCTTGTAGGAGTTATTGCCCTTAATGTCAAATTTTACCATTTTTTCATTTTTGCCTATTATTTTGAAAACATAATAGAGAGAAACTTTAATCAGGAAAAATGATCAGCAAGACAAGATATTAAAAAAAAACCCAACTGGACAAAATCGTCGGAATACTTGTTATTGGAGTTATTGCTCTTTAATGATGATTTTTTTACCATTTTTTGGGGCATTTTTGCCTGTTATTTTGAGAATTATAATAGATGTATAGAAAATATAAATAGCAAAAATGGTAAGCAAGACAAGATCTACAAATAAGCCATCATGGTTAAAATTGAAAGTCAGCTTGTTAATGGAGTCATTACCCCGTAATCGGGCTTGTATAGTTCGCACTGGTACATAGTCCGCACCCCCTTCTCCCCACGAAATTTCAGGTAAAAAAACTTTTTGTAACTGTTAGAAAAGGTCTAATGAAACTCCGGTAATTTTAAATCGTGTGTGGTCGTTTGCGGTATTTTCTTGGAAATACCTATTTTCCATCACCAAACAGAAGCTGAAACTGCTTGAAAATGATTCTAAAACACTTCACGATGGTTAAAATAAGTCTAAATCACACAAAAAACAATTTAGAAACTTGTGTATGTTTAAACCGGAAGTTTGAAGATGTAAAAGATGAAAAAACCCGGTGAGAGTTGAAATCCGTACATAATAGATATCACTATAATACGACTTTGAAAGTAAAACAGTTCCCTCCTTATGTAAAACAGTGTTTAATATATCTATCACATTAATGTTTGAAGGGTCTTAAGCTAATACAAAACATATTTGTCAATAGGAAACACCAAAACGGAACGAATGATAATTGATAAGTTTTGTAGTTTACACATCGTAAGCTGGTTTATGGTTGTCTTTTTTTACCTTTTTTGTACGATTTCATTCAAGCAGATACCAGTTTATATTTAGCAATGCATTGAAAAGAAACGAGAATTTTGTAATGAAGCATTTAATTTTTAAATTTATCAGGATTAATTTGATATTAAATAAAAATAACTTATTAATATGGATTGGGTAAAATTATTGGTTTGAAAAATGATAAGAGCGCCCTCTACAATGTCAATAACAAACATGGCGGAACGTAAACAAACCACATCGCGAAATTGAAATTTTCTCTCTTATTTCTTGCTTATTGTACTCTATAGTCCGCACCCCTGCTGTCAGGGTCAAATTTTGAGAATAAAACTGCGGACTATTCAAGCCTTTTAACGGTACCCTTTAAAGATGATTTTTACCATTTTTTGAGTTTTTGCCTATTATCTTAAAAAGTATAATAGATACTAATGTAGATAAAAACTTTTAAACACAAAAATGATCAACAGGACAAGATCTACAAATAGGTCAACATGACTGAAATTGTCAGTTAACTCTTTATAGTTATTGCCCTTTCATGATGATTTTTTCCAAAATGTAGCCATTGTTGAAGATTCAGATGAGCGACACAGGCTCTTTAGAACCGCTAGTTGATAAATAGCATGTTTTTGTCTTTTCATTATCAAGATTATTTGTTCATGTCCTTGGCATGTCAAACCAAAGATCTATAAATAAATTTTGAACTTTTGATTATGAATTGATTATTGAACTGTTATTTTTTTTTTACAGCAAATACATGTATCTTTGTCTACTACAAATTAACGTTTATGTCAATATCTATAATTCTAACATCCAGAAAATGGCTTTCATCATTTTACTAACAAGTGAGATGCTTTTTAAATACCCAGCTGGATTTTCCTAATAACGCATCTAAAATAACTTTTTTGTTATTCAACAGAATTTCACAAAGATTAATAATGATACATCAGAGAAGTATTTTAGACAGATTAATTTATAAAGATGACATTTGTAAAGAGCTTTTTTCTCTATTTTTCAGACCATACTTTACATTCTGGGTGACATTTGTTCAGCTTTTGGTGTTCATTGTCTCCATAGCTGTGTATGGTATAGCTCCTATTGGTGTGTCAGAGAGAGTGTATGAAGAATCTGTAAGTAGAACGAGTAGAATCTATTCAAAGATACCAGGCTTATAAGAATCATCAGTGGTGCTGGAATCAAATCATTTGGCACGCCAAATCAAATACGAAGTTGAAAATCAATAAAATCCAACAGTTCAGAAAGTTGTGCCAACTACGACTTAGACAATCTATGTCTGTGGGTTGAAAAAGCCAAGTGCTTTGATTCAACATTTTATGAACAAAAGAATATGAATACAATCGAATTTCATTATCACAAAACCTTCTGATGTCAAAAGTATATACATAGATGTCAACTTTACTGATTCTGGCATCATATTGACATTTTCTTTAAATTTCTGGAATGTTCTTCTTTGCGTCCATTTCCCTTGCTAGAGTTAGAATCTTCTGTTATTTAGACATTTCACCTGTTCATTTGGAATTTGTCATCATTTATTTTTATAACACTGTGAGAGATCTAAGTGTGAAAATAGAGATATGGTCAATGTATTTCCCATCTAACAGCAAAACGTGCTAAACCTACAACAGTTTACTGTTCAAAAACTGTAAATACAGTCAGATCTTTGAAACACAGTCTCTGCACACTGTAGAAAAAATAGAAAGCGTAGGCTACATACTTAGTAATCAAATGCAATTCTTACAGACTTTTATATATTTTAACATATTTCTTAGCAGTTGATAAGAATACAACAGTAGGAGAAAAGGGAAGTAATTGTTCAATATCCAATGTATGTATATGTTGTCTTTGTAGGTGATGATGCCAAACCTTGCATTTGAGAAAGTTCGATTTTCAGAGGCTGAAAACTTATGGATTGGACCCAAACAGGTAAGATTTAAGAACAGTAACCTTTGAATTCTAAGGTTTCAAATGAATAAGTATAACTACAGCAGGACAAAAAAAGGGTGACCTGACATGAAAGGATTTCATTTAATAGATGTGACCTTTATAGCAAGTTTGGTTTTTAGTAAAATGTTATCTGAGTATGGTCTCTGCATGCATTGCACATGAGTATACTGAAAGACTTTAGGGGCAACATTTCAAATTATTTTCTATATATGAACTTTAAAGGCTCACAACTGTTTGAATAATTATGCATAAGATACACACTTTTACATACTGATTTGGTGTTGTCAGGATATCTGAATATATCACTGCACAGGTCACTGTTGTAGATCTTTTTACAATATTAATTGAGTTATCTCCAATGTGGATATTAAATTTGAAATAAAGTAAATTGTGTAGCTACTATTTATAATAGTTCAAAGCTTGCTAATCAGTAGCAAGTATATGGAATTTTTGATAAACGCATAGTTAATTGTCATATGATAATGATAATAATAATCAGAAATATGCACAGAAATGAGATACAAAATACTTTTCTCGTCTTAATTAGCAATATGTGAGCTATTCCATTAATATGGATGTGAGAAGGTAAAAAGGAACCAATTTTCCTATGACCAATATACTTCTTTAAGTAATTGTTCTTAATAAAATGGACAAAATACTATAAGTTACCAGCAACCAAGGTCCAAGTATGAAATCTTCCGTTCCTACCCTTCCACGTACATTTTAATGGAATAGCCCTGGCCATAAATTTGATTATATAATAATAATAATACTTTATTTCAAAAGCAATACAGCTTATAGGATACATACACATAATGATAATGCACCAATAATAAGAATTTTTACAAAATATTCTTGTAAAAATATTCTTGAGTTACACAATATATAATTTTAAAGGTGTACATGAAATAAAATATAATACAAAAAAAATACAAAATAGGAAATACAAGCGCAGAATGATATACTTTAATAAACACAATATGTGAGAACAAATATACTATATAATGCAATTAAATTCTAAGTTTTTCTGCGGATTTTAAAAAAACATATGTAGGTTATTTAATTCTTTAATATATCTGACAGATAACAACTGGATAAGTTTGTATGCAGATGGATTTCTCCAATAATACTTTTTAATATACTTTTCTCAGATTTGACTATATTTTTGACATTCAAGTATAAAATGGTATTCATCTTCAATAGATCTAGTGTTACAATTTGTGCATAATCGATTATTTTTATCAACATTATAATATCTGCCTGTTTCTATGCTTAAATTATGAGCTAATATACAATATTTACAAATGTATATTAGTTTACAGGTATATTTAAATAAAATTGCAAAGCATGTGTACTATACATATATCTTTACAAATGAAATTTTTCTTGAATTCTCAAAAAATGCAGATACTTCACTTTTGCATTCTTTCTTTCAATTATAATAGAAAAATATCTATACAAACTACACTTTGGCTTAACCAAACATAATTAAATCCATATCTAAACAAAATATCTCTAATCTTACAGAACCAGTTTTGTTTATCCTTCTTTTTAATACAACTTCTTTCAAACATCATCTCATCATAACAGTTCTTAAATATACAGTTTTCTGTACTCACATTTTTTAACCAATATTTGATCATTTTATATTGCCTTTCAATGGACATAGGCAATCTACCTAATTCACAATAAATCATATAAGTTACAGCACTCATTTTGACTTTAAGAATACGTTTTAAATAATACAAATGAACTTTTTTGATATTTGGTGCCATATGAAATCCCCATACTTCCAAGCAATAATTCAATATGCTTGCTACATAAGTATCAAATAATGACAACAACGTTTTATGATTATAGTAATCAATATGTATTTTTATTAAATATGCTAAAAACAGCCTTTTTACCCTGTTCTGATGGTTTCTTTTGGGTATTTGCAAAATTACCAGTATAATAAAACAAAATTCCTAAATACGTAAACTTGTTACATATATCAATAGCTTTTCCATTTATATACCATTGCTCTTCTGGTCTAATTTTACCTCTGTTCCTAAAACCTACAATTTTTGTTTTTTTTATGTACGAATCATACTCATTTGAAAAACATTTACAGTATCGATCATCTTTTGTAGATCAGTTATACTTTCACTAAATAAGACCATATAGTCAGCGTACCTTAACAAATACAGAATTAACATTTTAAGTTTCATATGATTTACAATTTTGTGTAAGAAGTTCTATCTCCATATCATTGACATATAGTGAATACAGGAGAGGGGATAAGGATTCCCCTTGCATTAGGCCAACAGTACATTAAAAAAATTCGGAAATTTTCCATAAAGTTTTACACAGGTTTTTAATTTGCTATACATAGATTTAAGGACATACAATTCATATGCCATATTTTTTTTATTCCAGTCTGATTTGATCCATCTCGGTGCTAAATATTCACCCTGTATGAGAAAAGATGAGAATATATACAATGGTATAGCTAAGGACTTAATAGAGGAGAAGACATCTGGATGTTGTATAAGAAATGATGGATCTGGATGTGTACAAAGTGTCAGGTCTAAATGTAGTGTAAGTAAAGTATATAAACATCACAACAAGATAATAAGAAATATTGTGGATTCATTATTGTTTGTGGGATAGCAATTTTTCTGCAGTTGTGTATAACATGCATCCCAACTATATGTTTTAGGTAAAAAGTGTGTATTATACATGACCACATACGGTAGTTATTGATACAAAATGCCTATCACCATAGGTAGTGAAGTCCATCTTATGCCTAGCCAGTCTTCACGCTGAGTGGCAGCCCAGGAAGCCCAGGCTTGTAATATTGCTCTCGGGCCTGTAAAAATCATATCTACAAGCCAACAGAATCTAACTAAAAGTTTTCAAAAATTGAGCTCCGGGCCTGTAGATTTAGCAGTTCATCGTGAAGACTGCTAGCAAAGTTAAAAATTCATTCAGGTTATAATTTTTTTTTTTTAAATCAGGATGTGCACAATTCCATTAGATAGTTTTAAAAGGTACATTTTTAAGGGAAAATAATGTCTGCATTGTCAACTAGACTAAACTTATTTCAATTAATACTTTTTTTCATTGCAGACAACAATATCAGAATTTAAAAAGTATAATAGTACAAATCCAAGTAATTTAGGCTTCCTGACAGGTGCTGTTTGTGGCCAAGATCCAAAGTAAGTAAACAAAGAATAAACTACTATTAATTATTCTATTAAGATACTATTAATTATTCTATTAAGATACTATTAATTTATCACATATGATGAAAGAGGTAGATGTACAAGTGACAAAAAAATCCCATGAAATACTTGATATGAGATCTTGTCATGCTTGTGTATTGCTGTCCATCTGGACAGTTGCTGGAAAGTCTTCAACAACAGACTAAACTGCTCAACCTCTCAGAGCTTCATTAAAACCGCTCATAGCAAAAGAATGTTATCAGTAGTACTAAAAAAAAAATGGTACTTCAAGAATTCTTTGGTTGATTGATATTTGGTGTTAAATACCTCTTTCAGCACACTGGGCTACATCACAATGGCCAGTTTTTATTGGTGGATGAAGCAGGAGTACTCTGAGAGAACCACTAACTGTTGAAAGGAAAAATGGCAAACCTATAAGAATTCTTATACATTGTTGGTAATTTTTGACTTACATAGAAATTAGGTATTAAATGTCATCAATGTTTACTACAATTTTTTTTTTACAGATATTGCAGAAATCCAGCATCTGTTGCACCATTTGAATGGGACAAAAACGATATAACAAACTGGCCTGTAAGTTTTTGATCTATATAAAAGTGTACATATGTATAAATTTGATTAAAATTAGAAGTGAAACCAACATCACTGGTACAGCATTTCATGTTGGTAGTATAACAAGACAGACAAATGCTGATATATTTTTAAATGTTTTATGCAGTAGTTAGTTGTTTTAAAAAACAGATGAAATGGACCACTTTTTAGTAAAATGAGAAAACAAAATGTCTGTTCATGTCTGTCATATTTGTTTTTCTTAAATTGTTTTGTTATGAATTAGTCCATTAGTTTTTTCAATTGAATCGTTTCATATTTTTCATGTCTGGGTAATTTAAAGCCGACTATACGGTATGGGTTTTTCTAATTGTTAAAGGCGGTACAGTTGCCTGTAATTGCTTACATCCACTTAATTTGAACTTTGGTGGATAGTTGTTATATTGGCTCCATATTTTTATATAAGTCAGCTTTGAAATGAGAAATGTTTCAAACAAAAGTCTTTAATTCATTTGAAAAATAGTTTCCATGGGTAACACTTTATTGAATCTTTACTAACACATATGTCTAGATCAAATTTCTTTTTTTTTACAGTATTGTGAGGATACCACTGCACCCATAACTAACACAAGTTTTGTGGCTGGAGATGATCGTCACATGACCTGTGAAATTTCTGGCAGACCTTGTTGCCATGGGATACAAGGAGAATGCATGATTACCACGAGAGAACATTGTAATTTCATGCAAGGATATTATCATGAAGATAAATTCCTATGTTCACAAGTAGGTTACAGCTTACACTTACAACCAGCAAAGTACACAATAAGATGTATAATATGATTAAATTGTTCACGAAAAAGTTGTGCATGTTAATAGCTTGCTATCTCTTGTTACTTCTAAGAATGCCAGTAATTAATAGACGTATTTACACATGTATGCAAATTTGTCCGCCATTACTTAGAATCACACAAGTTCCTGATAAACGTTGCATCACAAATTAAAAAATTTGGTGTCATAATCAAAAAGTGATTGTTGCTCGACATGAGAAGGTTTTTCGGAGACAGATCTTGGGTCATTCGGAGACAAAATTCAGCTAAATACCTAAAGTGTAAATACGTCAATATCATCTGTAATTACAGGAATTTGAGTTCAAGTAGAAGTTTTGATCAAAGCTGATTGAATTATTTAATTTTATGAACTGGGAAGTACTAAGTAGGGCTGTTTCATAAAAACATGCATGGAATCAGGGGAAGGCACTTTGAAATCTCAACTATTGGTTGGTATCAAATACAATGAAATGAAAGTTAAATTCTAAATTTGCCCATTTTGAAAGTGCCTTCCTTGTGGACCATATTTGTTTAACTAGAACAACCCTAAGAGTTCGTACAATAAAATGTTATAAAATTAACACATTACAGACATTCTACATGCAAAATTGTCATAATTGAAATACGACATTAAGAACAGAGACAGATTCCTGAATAACCGGGTTTACTCGGAGTACAAAATTTGTGCTCGTAACACGAAATCCAGTATTTTGATTGGTTAATTTCTGAGTCTGAGTACGATAATCGTGCTCAAAATTTTGATGTCCGCACGGCCAGGAGAGTATACAATTATGAGGTTGTAAATTACAATGGTTACATAGATACCACTTCTCTGGTGATTATCTGAATTCTATTTCCTTGTTATATATATTACAACGTAAAATTTCATAATGAATTAATAATTTCAAGTCAGGCTTTATGGTTAAAATTCAACAAAATCATAAATATCCTTATTTTACACAATTGAATCAATTTTTATTTAGACGATTACAGGTAGAAATAGAGGTAGCATACAAGGATTTGAGTTTATCAAAGTTTGTAAACTGAAAGATGTAACTAAGTCATGGTTCAATGAATTCAAAAGGGGAATATGCTAGTCACATGACATGTAGAGTTATAACACATTGACTTTATAACCATTTCTTCTTTGTACAGGTGAAGTGTTTGAAGCAGATTTGTGGTATGATACCATTCACTGATGACAATGTCCCTGATCAGTTTTACAGACTATGGACATCAATATTTTTACATGGAGGGTAAGACATTTTTCTATTGTATGCATACATGACTATAGAAAAATTGTACTTTGTTGAACATTTTAATTTGTCGTTCATCTTTCTCCTCGAAATCCACAAAAATTGGTATCCCATGAATGATAATGAATCCCAAGTAATGACATAAAAGGAAAATCTTAACTATAAGAGAGAGAAACACATCAATTGTAAAATGATTTCAGTTAAAGATTTTAATAAAATTTTCTTTAATAAATGACAAATTTATATCCATAGAAAATTACACTTTAACATTTGTTTGTTGAAAAGTCGTAGCCTTGCACATATTTTTAAAGATCTGCTATGAACAGATGTTATTTTAGCTAATTATCAAATCTTGTGTCAAAGTTCAAATTCATATATTTATAATATCTTTTATGGTGCAAGTTTTTTTCTTGACATACTATATTACTGGTTTGTCTATAAATGTGTTTTGTTACAGATTATTCCACTTGCTGATAACAATTGGCTTCCAGATGTTGATAATGAGAGATGTAGAAAAGTTAACGGGATGTATACGTATGACAATTATCTATGTAGGATCTGGAATTGCAGGCAATCTTGCTAGTTCTACTTTCCTTCCATATCATGTTGAGGTAGGTTGATGGTTATGTTGATGATGAGAAATGTAGATACTGTATAATCAGAAATTTTTGGGATGTTCTAATTATTGATAAAAATGCTACAGGAGAGGTCTCCCAAAAAATAAAAGATTGCATTTTAAAATTTTACAGCATTTCCTGATATCAAAATAATTATACTCTGTTTATTCAACAATCGTAATAACCCATGTAAGCCAAAATATCTGAATTGATAGCAAATTGATAGAAGGAATTTTGTATGATGGATGGATGGATGGCTGTTTAACGTCCAGTGGCAAATTAAATGCATACTCGGGATGAAAACATGGAAATGTGATATGAATATAGACCCTGCTTTATACTAGTCCCACATGCTGAGAGGGATGTTTTAAGGTACAAGTTCAGAAGGTTACAGTCTCCATAATGACACATGTTTAGCAAATACCAATATTCAAGTCCTGGCTAGGGATCAGACCCACAACCTTCCACACTTTAGGCGAGCATGAGACGAAGGAGGCTGTAATTTTATATGACCATAATCTATGAAGGTGCTGGTATCACTATATCACTGGCAAAATGGCTCTTTCTACTTTCCATATAACAGTTACAAAGGCTATTGGTAATCTCTGTTGAAAGCTATTGCCCATTATGTTCATTTTAGTACTTATTGACCTACGTTTATGAAACTTGGTATGAATATTGTTAAAATTTCAGTCGATAAGAAGCAGAGGAGACACTGGTATTGTAGCAATGCACTATTTCTAAATCATATCATATATATACTGTGCTACAGTTGATGCCATTTCCTTTTAAAAAAATGTGTTAGATACAGTTAATTATATTAGAATTCCACTAAATTCATATTTATTTGTTGTTGAAATTGATAGCAGATATAACTGGAAATAGCAATAAAAGTAAATAAATGAAAATATCACTAAGTCTTGATATTGTGCATTCAAAGTGCTTTTCTGGATTTACCTTCAACAGGAATGCTAAAACCTAACATTTGAAACTCAGGGGTGCATGAATACTTAGAAACGTTATATGACCGAAAGGAATCTAAAAAGAATAGCCAATAAATAATGAAGGTAGCAGGAAAACAAATTGTTAGCCTTGACCTTAGATTTATACTTTACCATAGATTGATACCGAATCCCTTTTATGTTTTAGGTTGGACCAGCAGGAGCACAGTTTGGTATACTAGCCTGTTTATTGGTAGAAGCCATACAGAGTATACAGATGTTAAAACGACCATGTTTAGAAGTAACAAAGGTTCTCCTTTTCATTAGTTTCCTGTTCTTACTAGGACTTTTACCATGGATTGACAACTGGGCACATTTGACAGGTTTCGTCTTTGGATTTTTGTTGGCATTTGCAATCCTGCCATATATCCATTTTGGCAATTTTGACAAGACAAGGAAATGTGTTATGATTCTGTTTGGATTAGGAGGAGCAACCATTTTGTTTGTTATGTTAATTATATTGTTTTATATCTCTCCAATTTATAACTGTCCTGGGTGTCAATACTTCAATTGTATTCCAATTACAGAAAATTTCTGTAAAAATATGGAAGTACAGATAAACAGAGAATCTACATACACAGCTTATTTGTAGACATACACTTCAGCTCACATGGATTTTGGAATGACCACCTGTTTATGGTGGGAGTGTGCCAAATCTTTAGAAGTTACCCGTGCTGACCTTTAAGGGTAGGCATGCCATTTCTTATTTCTAATCTAAACATTTGTTTTTACAATATCTTGAAAAACAAGAAAAGCTATTTAATTCATTGTTTTTTACAATAGTTTTTGTTGAATTTTGAGTTAGCTGCCCATGGTGGTCAGGTGGAAAACACAGGATCCACTGAACTGGAGTGTATATTACTATTTTTAGAATTTTTTTCTTTTTGATAGATGCATTTATTAATTATTTAGGTTTTTAGCTTATTATGAGTAAAAATTAGTGCTGTTAATATTATAGCCTAAATAAAAAGACGTAGAGAGGATTTTTACAAATAACTGTTTTCTTTTGTAGAGTTTTGATATTGTTACATTTGATATTAAATAACTCATTTTAGTTTCTTCTTGATATTACAATTGATCACATAAAACATAGAATACATATATTTTGATCTTTGCTATAAAAATGTGCAAGTTTTGAAATTTCTATTATTTTTGGTTAAGTAGATATTTTGCTCAAGTGTAATGTAGAAAATTGTGCCTATGGTAAGGATCTAGCAATTTTTAAAGAACAAAGTAATGAAATTTTTACCAGTGAATGTTGTATCCTTTGATCCAATATGGGACAAATACTGTATATGTTCTTTTTTTTTGTGAGCTTTTACTACTGATTAATTCACATGTATTTAATTTTGCGGTATTTTAGAAAATATCAGAACAGTAGTAACTGACTTATTATATTAAAATGATAATTAAGTTAGTCTTTATTTGTTGAACAAATATATGAAGCAAAATTAACAAAGATTATTCAATCATCAAATTAGTCGTCTATTCATTAGAGGTTATTATTCGATTAAGTTGTTAAATTTTACACAATAAAGCTATCAATTTGGCTTTGGGCATTATCTATTACCGATTATCTTTAATCAATTTTATGGATCACAGTTTGATTGAGGTCATTGTAAGGTAAACATGCATGTGCAATTGAAAATTCCAGTGATATTTATTAAATGGTATGTAAGCTGCATTTGTATTTGCTTGTGCTTATTTTCGTGAAAATATGCCTACAGCGAAATTCGTGAAAATAAATACACAGCAAAAAAAGTACATATACAGTAGTTGTCCCAAGTCAAATTTTCTCAGCACGTTTTACCTATTACGCTAACCCAAAAAGTCAGTACCTCCCTGTGATCGACTCCCACTTGCTAGGGCCTGAACTCTTTGCAATAAAATCATGTCACTAATCCAGGATTTTTATTTGAGCTCTCTGAATGATCAAGCCAATAAGCTGATAGCTTAATGTTATTGAGATAGCTAAATCCTGAGCTAATTCTGAATGATATATTTTTTTCATTGACTAGGCTTGGTAGGTGTTAATGCAATCACCGTAGAGCAGCAGAATATAATGACTGAATTATTCAGGTTGCTAGGACACACATTTTTATGAAGTTTTTTCAATAGTGAACTTATAAATGTTATTATAGGAGTGACTAAAAAAGTACTTTGTCTTCCTTAATCTGTGATATTTGTCTCATTGAATGTGATTTCTCTATTTATTGTAATTGTATATATATATATTTAAAGATGCAAAATACAAGCAGAATCATATTGAATATTTATGTATGATATTGATCTGATGGTGTTTTTGTCATGCCTGATAAATAGGTCTGGAAAAAAAGGATTATTTTTTAATACAACGACCATGGTTGGATTTTTATCAATCTTTACATTTCTTGATTTTTCAACACAGCTCGTATTATACAAAGACATGCATGGCACCCAACTGCCAAAAGATTGACAACATGACTACCGGTACTTGAAGGCAGCATTAAATCATGTTATTAACCCTTTGAAATAGACATGAAATCAATACAAAGTGTCAAAATATTGTAAAACTGACCATATTAAACATGTATTAATAGTATAAAATTAAAATACCCAACAAATCCAGATCGGAACAAAATTGAAATGTTGGTTAAAATACTGAAAATTGAACAAGAGAAAATGTTGTGATGCATCGAAACTGTGCTGAATTATTTCTCCCTTTCTGAATAAAAAAAATATTACTGAGGATAAAACGATATACTTTTTTGATATTTTAATTCTTGGATTACTTATTCCATAATTTCTTATTGTCGAGCCTGCGACTTTTGTCGCAGAAAGCTCGACATAGGGATAGCGATCCGGCGGCGGCGGCGTTAGCTAACTTCTTAAAAGCTTTATATTTTAGAAGATGGAAGACCTGGATGCTTCATACTTTGTATATGGATGCCTCATGTTACGAAGTTTCAGTCAGTCACATGTCCAATGTCCTTGACCTCATTTTCATGGTTCAGTGACTACTTGAAAAAAAAGTTCAGATTTTTTGTAATGTTAAATTCTCTCTTATTATAAGTAATAGGATAACTATATTTGGTATGTGCGTACCTTGCAAGGTCCTCATGCCCGTCAGACAGTTTTCACTTGACCTCGACCTCATTTCATGGATCAGTGAACAAGGTTAAGTTTTCGTGGTCAAGTCCATATCTCAGATACTATAAGCAATAGGTCTAGTATATTCGGTGTATGGAAGGACTGTAAGGTGTACATGTCCAACTGGCAGGTGTCATCTGACCTTGACCTCATTTTCATGGTTCAGTGGTTATAGTTAAGTTTTTGTGTTTTGGTCTGTTTTTCTTATACTGTATGCAATAGGTCTACTATATTTGGTGTATGGAATGATTGTAAGGTGTACATGTCTAGCTGGCAGGTGTCATCTGACCTTGACCTCATTTTCATGGTTCAGTGGTCAAAGTTAAGTTTTTGAGTTTTGGTCTTTTTTTCTAATACTGCATGCAATAGGTCAGCTATATTTGGTGTATGGAATGATTGTAAGGTGTACATGTCTAGCTGGCAGGTGTCATCTTACCTTGACCTCATTTTCATGGTTCAGTGGTCAAAGTTAAGTTTTTGAGTTTTGGTCTTTTTTTCTAATACTATATGCAATAGTTCAACTATATTTGGTGTATGGAAATATTTTATGATCTATATGTCAGTCACGCAGGTTTTATTTGACCTTGACCTCATTTTCAAGGTTCATTGCTCAGTGTTAAGTTTTGTGTTTTCGTCTGTTTTTCTTAAACTATAAGCAATAGGTCAACTATATTTGTTGTATGGAAGAATTGTTAGCTGTACATGCCTGCCTAGCATGGTTCATCTGACCTTGACCTCATTTTCATGGTTCATTGGTCAATGTTTAGTTTACTTGGTTAATGTTAAGTTTATGTGACAGTTGTAATAAAGCTTTATATTTAGGACTATCAACATAATATCAATGATTAGTAAAGAAGGCGAGACATTTCAGCGTGTGCACTCTTGTGTATGATATCAAGTGATGTTTTTATCATATATTTTCTTTATTAATCTTTTGTTTTCTTTTGGCAGCTGTTTCTATAATTGGATATTTAAGCAATAAGAAAATATATTTTTTTACAATGTTTCATGCATGCAACTTCATGTTGTTCACTAAATAATATATTGTTTATAATCTTATTCGATATTTGAATAATTTCACAATAACTAATTGTCAATATAGTAGTTCTAGTAGAAACATATAACAACTTTTGTTATATATATTTTCAGAATGTCAGAATTCTCAAAAATGATTATTTCTGATTATGCATCATATAAAGCAAGAATAAGAAATATCTAGAGGAATCTTCAGTAGCATCCATACAAAAAATAAATCAGTTTGTGTATTAATCAAAAATTGGCACCATTAAGTTAAATTATTCTGTATCTGCATTATAATCCCTCAGAAACCAATGTTTAATTTCTATAACTGATTGTATCCAACTTGATGATAATGACTACAAATTGTACAAACCTATTATTGCTGCATGTATTTTGCATTAAACATAGGCTTTCTATAGAGATACATATCATTTATAGATTTTCTAACTAGTCATCATTTAGATATGTCAATTCGGTATTTTTGTTATTTTACTTTTTCCTACTATAGATATATTGGGCACATAATTTTCAATTAGGACTCTTCCAGAATTAAACACATGGGGGCTTGGGATGCACTTTTTAAAATCCTGACCAACAATAAAATAAACATTTTCGTTTTACTAATAATTATAACAAAATTCTTAGGAAAATGTGACCACCCATATTTAATTAATTTGAGTGCCACCACTCTCACCAGATTAATTTTGGAACAGGCCTCGGACAGGATAAACAAATTCAGAAAACCAGATATTTTTTATGTATGCATTAGAGCCTCTCATTACATGCAGATATAATAAAAAGAAACTGCAATGGATGTCAAATAGGTGCATTTCCCAACAATAACTAATTTCCAAATTAGCAAACAATTATCCATTTAAGAAAAACATTCATTTTGTATCCATAGTAATTCCTTGAAAGTTTGCATATAGTGTGAAAAGGTCTTTTTGATCAAACATGACTGACAAAATTTTAGTCTGTGAACAATTCAATATTGTACTGTATAGGAAGTAATTCAGTTTTATATTTACATGGAATTAGAACATTTTTTTGTAATATCTTTAGTATCATAAAACATTTTTATTAATTAGTATTTTTTTTATGAGCAATGAATTATGTATTTTTATTAATTATTAAAAAGTAGGGAAAGGTATTTATACTTTAAATCGAATTTCTTCCTCTGAAATTGGCATTGTAATATATATTTTTTTTAATAGATTATGAATAAGTAATAAATATGGTTGTGATGAATAGAATAAAAATTTGAGTTTTTAATAAACATGTTTATTTCTCTTTTCATAATAAAATGACCTTGAAAATTTAATCTGTCTGAAATTGCTGTTAATTTCCAATTCTTAAATTCAATTATTTTTTTAAAATAAAATAAGAGTTGCAGTAGAATGTTTGAACAAAATATGAATAGTGCTACCTCAAAAAAGAAGTTCAAAAATAATTTTGAATTGCTTGTATTAAAATCAAGAGCAGATAATCAAAATAAATCACAAACTACTGTAAATTCTGAAACTATTGTGATGTAATTTTTGTTTATATAATGTTTTAGTTATATATAGATTATTTGATTAATTCACAAAGAATCTTCCCCTATCATAACTTGCAATTATTATCCATTTTAAGGATTTTTTTGGCTTAATAGTTATGTATAATCATAGATGGCTTTTTTATAAGATATCTGTTCCAAACTAAACTTCTAGGAAATCTCTGCACATAATTTGTGTGTCAGAATTATTACCCAAAACACGGCTGCTTAAAACTGATGCCTGGCAAAATGACCTGCTTCGTAAACTTGGAGACAAGGTAGACATTTAAAATAATTAAAATTAAAATTCCCAGCTGAAAATTCCTTTTAATATATTTCCATTCTTGCCTTTATAAACCTTGTTAAAACATGCTTTCTCTGAACAATATTCTATGTAACAGTGACTGTACAAGATATGAAATATTTAACATACTTTTATGTTTTTCTAAATTTTATGCCAATAGAGATTAAAGGGTAAAAAAGCATAATATAGAGATGTGGTAATTTCTTATGTGTCTTTAATACTCAGGCTGTTTTTGTATATTTTGTTTTTCTGACACTATTGTTATTTTGTACTGTTTATACCGTGCCTTATATTTCAATTTTTTTAAAAATAGTGTTAAAAGTACATGAAAAAGACTATTGATTATAAGTATAAAGACTAATCAATCAATGTACTGAAATTTCAATAGTAAAATTCAGATTTAAAACACACATTAATAATGCAAAAAGTATAAAAAAAGTTGTTTATGTATCTTATTAAAAGATTTTGTTTGCCAGTATGAAGAACTAACAATTTTAAAACTCATCCCTAGTATGTATTTAAATTTTTGTTTTGAACTTTTTACTACAAAAAAAAATATATTTAGATATATGAATTAAAGTGATGGAGCATTAATTTATATTGGTAATTCAATGTCAGTTTTAATGGCTAACAAGAAGGAAAGAGATAGGAAATAACCTTCCTTTAGCCAGTAATTGAACTTACATTGAGCTTCCTTCTGTAAATTTCTAATATGAGGTAACTGGGTGCTTAAATCAGTTCACATCTGATCCAATTCCATTTAAAAAAAAATTGTCTTTACAATTGTTTGCAAAATAATCGATTAATATTTAGCAGGTTCCAGTTTATTGGTACATGTTTTTGCTTAATATTTGTTATTTACGTGTACTTTTTAACCAAAATTTCATCTGTGTGTTATCTTGTTATTGTGTTTGTAATAATGTAATTATTTGTTGAATAACAGTTCTGTTAAAAGCGTCTCTTTCACATAAGGTGCAAAATCACTTTTTTGATAATACTGAAGTTTCTATGTATACTATTACAAGCATCATGTGATAAAACTTTGTCCAGAAATTTTATATTGTAAATTTTTAGTGTTAACATATCATGTTGCATGTGAAGGAGCTATGATAAAATATTGTTGGAATTAGTTTCATCCATTAAATGATTTGTAAAACTTTGTTTTTCTGTGTTAGTGTTAGAACAATTGGCAGAGTAACCATTTACATGTTTATTTATTGAAGTGGCTTACAAAGCTATAATAGACCATGTAATCCCCTGTTTTGGTATTCATTAGACTGATAAATATGTTTCAAATCTGAGATATTGAGCATAGGTATCAAGCC